ATTGGAGATGTGTTTTGAAGAACGATTTTAAAATGCCAAACCTACGGAACTTTTAGATTTATAAAAGATACCATTGTTCAGTTCTTAGTCTGCTGTCACTGTGTGACATGACTATGCTGCTCCAGACCTGTTTAAAAGTGATGGGAGCCGGGCGGCGGTGGCGCACGCCTTTAATCCCAGCACTCGGGAGGCAGAGGCAGGCGGATCTTTGTGAGTTCGAGGCCAGCCTGGTCTCCAAAGCGAGTTCCAGGAAAGGCGCAAAGCTACACAGAGAAACCCTGTCTCGAAAAAACCAAAAAAAAAAAAAAAAAAAAAAAAAAAAAAAAAAAAAAAAAAAAAGTGATGGGACATCTCAAAGTTGTTGTTAGCAAGAAAATGGCAAGAAAGGCAAACAGGAAACACAATTATTTCATGTCATTTAAGATTGGAGCAGAGCCAGCACTCTGGGAGCTAAGGCAGAAGGATTTAGATTTTGAGGCTATTTTGAGGTAGATAATGTAGCCAAGGATAGCCTGGGATCCTGTTTCAAAAGGAAAAACAATAACAAGGAGGAATGTGCTTGTTCATATATCTCAGCATATTTCTCTATAAAACGAGGATGATTATTTTGCCCGCCCCCACTTCCATGGACATTTTCTCCGTATAAAGTGAGGTAATGGATTTAAAGAACTCAAAATGTTGTTTGCCATTCAACAAATTATAGCAGCTATTCACGATGCTAATTCCTTCAAGTAGAAGTGAACGTTGTAACTGTGGTGTCATAGGTGTGTGCCTATGGGCTCTGCTTGAGAGAAGAACTGCCCAGAGCCTGGAACCTGTCCTCTTCCCAGGAGCCTGGAACCTGTCCTCTTCCCAGGAGCCTGGAACCCATTCTCTTCCCAAATCATGGACACTGGACTCAACAGTACAGCACAGGCATTCTCAGACTTAGGATGGTTTGACGTTTGAGTTTTCAACTTTCCTAGGCAGCAAAAGTCAAGTTCATTGAGTAGGAACTGCACTTTGGACCGGGAATTTGGACCTTTTCCTTCAGGTGCCAGACTGTCTCGATATGAAGCAGTAACAGACAGCGAGAGGTACAGGTCACGGCCAGCCCCACCATCATAAAAGGAACTCAACACCCTACAGTGAACTGTGTCCCTAGACTGTTTTCTGGTCAGCTTGGTAGATCAAATGTGTTCCCAACTTACGATATTTTCAATTTATGACAGTGGGTTTATTGGGAATGGAATCTCCTCTTTTTTTTTTTTTTTTTGGTTTTTCGAGACAGGGTTTCTCTGTGTAGTTTTGGTGCCTGTCCTGGATCTTGCTCTGTAGACCAGGCTGGCCACAGTAGACCACTGTAGTCCCGAGTGCTGGGATTAAAAGTTTGTGCCACCACCACCTGCCTGGAATCTCCTCTTAAATGGAGAAGCAAGTATATATACCAATGTCTGGACCCCACCCTCCCCCACCCTGGCTGTCTCTCTCTCAAGGCCATCTCCAAAGACCAAAGTGCCTCCACCAAGAGTTGTAGCAAAGACTCAGCAGATATTGCTCCTTGATGTAGCTGCTTTTAGGTCCCCAAATCTGCCTCCTTTTCAGTCAGTGCTTCTATTTTTATTCCTTTTCAGGTTCTTCCATACATACACATAATTCCCTCAAATTAATATTTTCTTTTTTCTCTGGGTTTGGAAAATTGAATTTCCTCCCTTCATTATTTATCATTCTCCTGGCCCTATGAAGGAGTCTAATGAAAGTCATAAGCTCAAACTCAGAGAACCTCTATGAAGGAAAAGGAAAGCCGTTCACCCTGAAAAGTAAACAACTCAAAGGTCAATTAACAATGGAAGGGTTGTCACAGTCAGAAGGCAGTCGCCAAGACTTTGGTCCTGACAAGTCATGCTTGCCGAGCACAATTCCTGGGGCCTGAGCTTCCATGGGAAGACTTCTCTGCAGGAGCCCATGGGTTGTTATTCCTAAACTGTACCAATCCACATGAAGAGGGTGGCCTGAGTGAAGGCAGCTTTGTTCAGAGGGTTATTCTCGCTTGGAGGACTGGGATTGGGGGCAGTACCGGTAAAAAAGATGATCTGCAAGTGTGATCTGGACTTTGAATGGTCAACTTAGCAGGTTAGGCGCTGCATTGTTTCAGGATAGGTATGTTAGGACAGCGGTTAACTGCTGGTTGAAGGCAGGCTACCAGTTATCTGTCAAAATGTCAGTTCAAAATAAATCTGTCAAAGCAATGGTGTGTCACTGCTGAAGGAATATCCTGTCCCAAATCACTCACCAAACAAAAGTGGCACAGTTCACCTCTAGCCAGCCAGATTGCAGGCATTAAAACGGTACTTCAAAATGACCTTGAATTTTTCCGCCCTTGGCTTTCTACAATTTAAATAATGCCTACTGTTTTCCTTAGAATGCGTGTTATAGTCACGTAAATCTAAGGGGGTCCCAGTCAACCACAGTGACTCTGTGTGGCTGTGGCAAGTGTCCCAGGAAGGGGACAGCATAGGGTGGAGTTGAAGTGGGACTGCTTGGTGAGACTACGGGGGGGGGGGGGGGGGGGGGGGGTGGGGAGTGGGTGGGGGGTGGGGTTGGGGTTTGGAGGACACTGGGCTACCTGCTCTCTGCCAAGGCCCTTGCAGGGTGTGGACAGACAGAGGGATGATTGTGGCAATGTGGCTGGTGTAAGTTGTTTGGCTTTGTTTTGTTTTGATGGGGTGGATGCAAAGCTGCTATTTGTGTAGCCAAAGGTATGTGATCTAATAGTTCTGCAGGAGAACTTGTAATTAAGTATCAAACCTTTCAATACTTTTTTAAATTACTAAGGCAATAAAAGAATGAAGGAAAATGAACCCCCGAGGATGCAGTAGATTTCTCTGTTGGAGACAGAATTATTTCTAAGGTTAGTTATCTTTTATTACATTTTTGACCCCCAAAAACAAGAAATGGAGCCATCAATGTGGCTTGGCAGGTAAAGGTGCTTGCTATCAAATTTGACAACCTAAATTCAACACCCCTCCCTCCAAACCACAGGCTAGAAGGAAAGAACCAATTCCCACAAGTTGCCTCTAACTGCCACACTTGCATCCACTACCACACACATGTACACACACACACACACACACACACACACAAATAAATAAATAATCAAACATGGATGTGTCGTGAGAAAGCCAAAGTTGTGTTTTTAGTTTTAATGACTGTGCCTAAGACAGCCATTAAACAAAAATGCCTCTAACCTGCAAGCCCCTGGCCCAAGGACAGATACTTACTGAAATGCTATTGTTTATGGGTGATAGCAAGCCACATGTTTTCACTCCCCTGAACAAGTTTGTTTGACACAACTACACCAGATGTGCTTGAACACAAGTGGGAGGGAGGTATGTGGGCAGGAAATAAGTCAGGATATTCACTTGCCCGATTGGACCTGAAGAGAAATACCGTGACCTTGTAGGGTTGTCTTTTTAAGCCTCTGAAAAACGTGACTCGTGGCCATTTTCTGGGAACCCAGAGATGGACCTAGCCAGAGTCCATCCAACTGGCCAGTATTTAATTAAAACTTGCTTCAAATTTGACTGTAAATTGTGGTAGTGGTCTTATTGTCAACCGGTAGGATTAACAGTATGCTTGTAAAAACTCAACAAATGATCTGGCCAGCTCTTTGGTTTTAAAATCTAAAACATAACTTAAAATCCGAACACTAAGGCAATACTTGCTTGTGGAATCTTTTACTAACAGATTTTCACAAGCACGATTTTCTGTGCGAGTGTTTGAAGAATCATAGATATTCATTTCGAGCCATTTGTGGGCTTGTAAGGCAAAAACCAAAGAAGTAGAGTGCAGAAGACAATCCCTATAGGAATATTACTCGTAGATATCAAACACCGCAGCTCTTATCTTAAAGGGAATAAGAGAGTTTATTCCAGAGTCATTTGAGTGACCATGGCTTGGGAACACAGATTTAGTTCACCCCAAATTTGTGTTCCAGCGTGGAAGCAGTTTCACGAAGCTTTTATAGTTTTACAGAGCAAAGAGCATCATAAATCAAGGCAAGTTTAAAATACACTGGAGGGTACATCAGAGAGGCAGGGGCAGCGAGATAGGGGAAGCTTCCCTACAAGCTCAAGATGCTACGTGATGACATTCCTAGCTTTGGATTGGAGGAGTCTGGTTGTCCGCTAAGATAATAGACTCTGAAAGATTTCTATCTGTTAGTCTCAAGATGTTAGTTCCAACACATGGGGCAAGGAATGGCTGTCCCTGAGGGCTAGAACTAGCCTGAGATAAGGTAACTAACCTCTAGACCTGCAACATTCCAACCTCTCTGCAGAACTGAAAATCTAATCGGTCCATCAGCAGACACAGCCTCTTTTCAGGAGTTTTCATTCACAATCTTTTTTTTTTTTTTTTTTTTTTTTGATCACGGTAGCCCTTGCATCCAGAGTTGCAATCTGGCAAAACTGTGAACGCTCATCTGATGGCCCCTTCTGTCTCTGCTCAACCGGCACCCCATAAGCTGAGCACCTGTAATGAACTGCTTCAACTCCTCGTTTCTTTCCCTCAACCATGAAACTAAGATCTCTTTATGACACCGAGGGGGGAATCAAAACAAAAGATGCAAGCTGGGGTGATCTTCCTGAAATAACGTGAGAGAGTAGATTTCCTTCAGCCGGCGCGTCTCCTGCTTCTTCTGCCTGTCTTTTTCCCTTAGCTCCGTCCTGCCTGTACTTCTGCCCAACTTTGTATTTGTTTGTTAGCCTAATTCTTAATAGTCGCCGCTGTCAACTTTCCCACGGTCAGGCATAGAGGACAAGCCTTAGGCCCTGTTGATGTTCTGTGGCCCCTGATCGGCCCTGTTGGTTCCACAACACTAGTATCCCACTGCCTCCAGCTCCTCTTTACTCCTGGCGGGCGCAGTGGTGGGCGGAGCCAGATCCCGAGCCAGGCTGTGATTGGTGGTGTCCTAGCAACCGCGACGATGCGGTCGTCAACAGAGACTGGACTCCTGCAACCCTGCGCCCCGGGACCAGGGACCCTTCGCCAGCGCCAGCGGGAGTCACAGCCTTGCCCAGCAGTGGGATGCTGGTCGCGCCTACCTGCTCGGGTCAGCGAGTCCCTGGAGGGTGGGAGGGACGCTGCTGAACTCGAGCCGCCTGGCTTTGCAGCTGACAGATTATCCAGTAAGTGTGGGACATCTTTCTTCCAGGTCAGAGCCTTCCAGGTTTCCAACAGGTTGTGTAGGGAAAAACAAGTGTGCAGTTTCCAAGCTGGATCTCGCTTCTGCTGAGAAAGAGATAGGCCAGGATAGCTAGGTTTCAGAGTCAGGATCGCAGACATGTATGAGCCCTTCTTACCAGAGGGCTTTCGCCATCCTCACTCCCTGCAGAATCTCAGCCATTTGATGGATAACAAGCTCCTTAAGGCATGTCTATCCACAGGCTAACAGTTATCAGACGGTGTAACACACTAATGAGTATATTAGAAACTTATTTCTAAGAAGCAATGATAGAAACTAAGAACTCCAACCCAAAGCGATCTTCTTGAGTAGAAGCTGTTTGCAACTTTCATTCTGGGGAAAGTCTGTGATTGCCTCCAGTTCAATTCTTCTGAGACATTTACCCACACATCACTTTCTCTTTTTAATATGGACATTTAACTTCGTGTAGTCATTCCTTCCATCTTCTTAGGAACTCCCCACTTCTTCTCATCGATGACCTGTCCCACAGAAGCACTCAGACTCTTAGATGTTCAGTTCTTGGTCCTGTTCTCTCAGCAAAGAGACAGACCATTTTGATCTCCTTAACTCTGCCCACGTTTTTCTGAGGTGATGACCTGAGCCTAGCTTTGCCTTTTAAGGTCAGAAAGATGGGGTGAGGGGTTGTTAAGAATTGTAACAGGCTACATCATGGAACATCATCTCAGCTTCCTTTCTTCCCAGAAGAATCCTCTGATTCAGAGCGCCCACAACACGCCCCACACCCACCCCAGCCCAGATTTTCTTTTTTAGAAACTAGCAAAGATAAAGGAAGTTTGGAGGTATTGATTATGAAATTTACCAAGGGTCTAACCTGAATTAATGGAGTCTAAGTTAGACTCGGGCCAAGGGAATGGACAGCAATGGGATGTCTCTTGGCTTCTCACTATGGGCAGACCAGCAGCAGACACAGAAGGGCTCTTACTTCTTTTGGTTGAGGCTTTTGGATTTGTGCACCCCGTCCAGTGTGTGTGTGTGTGTGTGTGTGTGTGTGTGTGTGTGTGTGTGTGTGTGTGTAGCCCTAGGCTGGCTTCAAGCTCACAGTCCTCCTCCTTCGGTCTCTCAAGTGTTGAGATTACAGGTTTTGACCATTTTAATCTTTCTGTTTTCCCAGGAGCTTTGCCTGACCATGGCTTCAGCTCAGGCTTTACTTCCTTCCTATACTCAGGAAATCCTTGAACTCTATGGCTTGTTAGACAATTCCAATTTTAAAAACTGAGGACAGCCAGAGGTGGTAGTACATGCTTGTAATCCCAGCACTCAGGAGGTTAGGGCAGGGGGATGCTACAAGTTCAAGGCTGGCCTGAGCTACATAGTCAGACTCTGTCTCAAAACATCAAAAATCAAACCAACAAAAACCCTACCACTAGTAACAAATTATCCCACACTGTAGAGCAGTGCCCATCAGTGATAATATTGACTTCTGAGCTTCCCTGCCTCAGAGGAAACTCCTGAGTGATCACACTAAACAAATAGCATAGTCACACCCAGAAAACAGTGTGTCTGTGTTTAAAAGGATAGCTATTTCCTGATCATAACTTTCCTAGAACCTGATCTTTGCCTTGCTTGAAGACAATCAGGATTTTCTCAGTTGCTGTGAGTGGTAGATTTAACTCATCTCAATACTATATGTTGTGCATATTACATAATAATATACTGACAACATTCATATATAGTCTATCCCTGTAGCCATCGAACTTCAGTTTAGTCTAGAGAGGACAGACCTATGTCTGAGGCCACAAGGATGAAGCCTCAAAGAAAAAACTAGACTTCTGGGGCTGGAGAGACAGCTCAATGGCTTAAAAGAGTCACTACTCTTCCAGAGAACCCAATTTTGGTTCTCAGTCTGTAATTCTGGCTCCAGGATTTCCAAGGGTACCTGCACACATGTGGCAAACAGACAGACACACAAATACAATTTTTTTTAGAGGTAGGCTTTTGAGGCTTGCTTAGAGCAGTCTTAGAGGTTTAGTGAAGGAAGATGCTCTTGACACAGGGGCTGAAGGTTAAGACTCCACACTGGACAATGGCTGTCAGCATGGAGAGGAAAGCAGGTGGGCTATGTGTGGAGGACACTGGTTAGGCCCATGCCCCTGCGGGCTTCCTTGGTCTGACAGACAGCTCTTCATTCCCTTTGTTGGGAGATACTTTGTCTCCTCATTTTCTCTGGCTCAGGTTCACTTTCCAGATCCCTTCTCTTCAGGTGTATAAACCTTCTCAGGCTATAAAACCCCAGGATGACGAGCTGAGTCCCAGTGACTCACATAGCTTCTCAGTTCCGACAGAGCCAGCCACATCTTCTAAAAAATTAACTTTACATAAAGTCGTCCGAGCCCCCAAAGGGGCTGGGACCTGTGTTGTAACCAAGTTGGATTGCTTTGTAAAGGATCCAAGCATGTGTCCTTTTTAATTGAATAAAAATTCAAGCAAATTAAAGAATGTTTCCCTTTGGCTTAAAAAACCAAAGGCATGCCTCTTTGTACCAGTCTTTAAGGTTGTAAATGTCTGTGAGAAAACCTAATTAGGGTAGTTTGTATAAAAGCACTCCCTTTAAAACCTAAGGCAAGTCGTCTCAGTGGACAGATCTTCAAGAACAGGTTCAAGTATATTGGTCTGTGCTTGTTTCCATGCTCTCTGATTTATTCTAGACGTCACAGGCCAGGATGATTGGATATTAGGGATTAGAGAAATCCCTGGAGGGTTTGGGGAGTTGGCTCAGTTAGTACAGTACTTGCTGTTGGGACATAGGCATTCGAGTTTGGATCCTCAGCACCCATGTAAAAAGCCAGGTGTAGGGACACCACCTGCAATTCCAGCCTTGGGAGGCAGAGACAGGAGGATTCCTGGAGTTCCATGGCTAGCCAGTCTAGCCAATGGGTGAACTCCAGGCCCAGGGAGAGACCCTGTCTCAAAACAGTAAGGTGGAGAGTGATTTGTGAAGATACCAACTTTGGCCTCTGGTTTCCATATGCATCCATACATGTGTGCGTGTGCGCACACACACACACACATATACACACACCATACACTATGCACACACATGCACACACACAGAAAAAGTGCTTGGAGTAAAAGTGTATCATGAAACAAAGACAGTTACTAGAAAAACGAATTTTTTTGTTAGCTCTTTCCCAAAGATTAAGTGCTTCTACACACACAATACAAACTTGGGCACATTTGTTCTGGGCAGCAGCCTTGGGTCACTGTGTCATGCAGGTGCATTATTCTAGAGGGGCGAAGTCAGTTGCTATAGTAACAGGACAGGCTTATGCTGAAGTTTGCTAGGAATTTGTTTGATTTTTGTTTTGTTATTGAGACACGGTCTCATTATGTACCTCAGCTGGCAACCAAATCTCAACCCTCCCGCCCCAGTCTCCCGAGTGCTGGCATTATAGGCATGTAGCACCACTCCCGGCTCTCACTGAGTTTTGATTCTAATGTTTCCCCTGGATCAGGATGCTCTTCAAGTCATCTTGTCATGAATCCACCGAAACGAGTCTTGTAAGCTTGTTCCCACAAGGTAAGAGTCTCCCCAACCATGTGGATTTGTAGACCGTTGGAAGTGACCCTCTATGGATAGCACAAATTCACAGAAACCTTGACATGGAATCATTATCACTCACAGCTTGGGAGCTGAGCCTGTGGCATGAGAATCAAGGTTAGTGCTCTCTGCCCGAGGCCTGGGGAAGTCACACTAAAGTGCGCTTCACTCTAATGGTAACAAAGTGGCTAAGGAATAGCTTTGAATCCCGATCCTGTTGCTCACTGGCTATGACAGAACCTGTGAAAAAGCTCCTTAAATTCTCAAGGCTTCTGATTCCTCAGGCACAAGCAGGGTGTTAACACCGCTTAACCGCTGTGTTCATGAGCCATCTGTGAGGGAGTGCCAAAGAAAGGGCTCAGCCTAAAGGCTGACTGACAAAAGGAAGCTGCTGAGTGTTTGTTCCCACCAAAATAAAAGCCCTAGAACAGGGACTCTTAAGTTGAAGGGCCCGGACCAGACTCTGAGGCAGTTCTCTTACTAGCTGTGAGGTTGTAAGCCAGTCTGTTTACCCTCCCTGTCTTGGCTTCTGCATCCGTAACATGAGTCTTATCTATCTCGAAAGGTTGTTTGGGACTGATTTTCTTAAAATTTAAATTAAATATTACACGTATACAGATGTATCAGAGTGTGGGTTCATGCGCACGAATGCAGTACTCTTGGAGGCTAGAAGAGGGCGTCAGATCCCCTAGAGCTGAAGTTAAGGGCCATTGTGAGCTCTCCAGTCTGAGTGAGGTCCTCTGAACAGAACATTTCCTTAACCGTTGAGCCATCCCCCTCGTAAGGTTGTTATAAGAATGTATGCTATACTGTACATGTCAAAGCATTAAGTGTGTGCTCTTCACGCTTCTAACTTCTAACTTCTTAAATCGTCGCTGGCTTGGGGCCACCTGATTTTTGTGCTTGACTAAATTTCCATGTCATAACACTAAGATTTTGAAGAAAATGAGTTTCATTTTTTAAAATTTATATATATATTAAAAAGATTTATTTTCACATGTACACATATGTGTGTATGTGTGTCTGTGAGTATATGTGAGGATGTGTGGACGACACCCTTGGCTGGTCACAAGAGTGTTAGGATCTGCACTCCCATCCTCGTGATGTATAACAATCACTCTTAACTGGAACCACCTCTCCAGTCCCTAGAAATCGAGGTTTAGATATTGGAGAGGGGAGTCTATTCGTTATTGAGAAGGCTTCACCGTCTTGGGAAACAATTTTTAAACACCGAACACTGGATATACAGTAATTAGAGCCTTCTAGTTGCACCCAGTTATTGATATCAATTGGTGAACTCTGGTCTTACAAGGTTCCACTTGCTCCCTGTCTCAGGCCCTGCCCAGCTGTGCAGGAGAAGATTGCATTACAGTTTGGGCAGTCTCTTCCTCTTGAGTACACTAGCTATATTTAGGTCAGTTGAGATGAGTTTAATATGCTGCATATTGCTTTGAGTCCAGTTGATCCCAGAACAGCTGGTTCCACTAGCCAGAATGATGAAGTCCAATCAATGTTAGAGTGAAACCCCAGAAAACAAAGCGTTTGGGATGTAGCTCTGTGTGTTCCGGTGGAGTTGAGCTGTCTGCCATCACCTCCCAGTTAGCTAGTCCACCTTGGGTTTTTTTTCTCTCTTCTTTATCCTTGGGTTCAAAATATTCAGTGTGAATATAATCAGCATGCAGGTGTGTAATATGCCTTCCAGGGACTGTGTTTATTTTCCAAAATGGAAGAATCCTGTATTTTTCTAATTATAAAAATAAATCCCACTTTAGAAATGTTCAAATAATGCAAAAACAGAAACACCATGGAAAAGACAAAAACTGCACATCCTTCTACTGCAGACCCATTGATGTTTATCTTTCTAGATTCTTCAGAGCACACATTTATGTACATATATAATATATGGATACCACCTGGTAGTATGCATCTATACTGTCATTTCAATGGGTAAATAAAATCCCACTTCATTACTATACTATGTTTTACTATTTTATAGTAAATATTTACTGTTTTATAGTAAGTCAACGGTGATGTTGATGTTAGATCCCTACTCCGCCAAGTTTTCAGAAGCCCTGAGCTTGACAATTTTTCCTTGCAGGAGGTCCCTTGTGACTTGACTTAGAGATGGAGGAATTAGGATCATCTTCCTTTGTTGTCCCGGAGGAATAGCTGCAGAGGCTGGAGAGACAGAACACCACCAAGACAGGCATGGCTGAGCAGAGTCTCATCTCGTCTGAGCAATGGCTTCAGCTGCATGGGCTTAAGATCAAGAAGCTGACCTTGAAGCAGATCTTGGCACAGATTGGATTCCCACAGTGTGAAGGTACAGTACTCACAGATGGCCTTCAGGGAGCCTAGTTCAGCTCCTGAGAAATCACAGGCCTCTGCACTACTTGCTTGGATTCCACATCTCTGCCAGGGGAAATGCTTGCACACGCTCCACCCCAATATATACACATCATCTAGAAATACAACTGTAACTACACAGATTCAATATTAGTGCTGCTTTACTTCATTTGTGTGTATGTATATGTGTGTATGCACATGTGTGTGGATGTGCACGTGTGTGTAGGCCAGAGAAGTACGTCAGGTGTCACTCTCTATTTCTATATACCTTATTTCCTCAAGACAGGGTCTCTCACTGAACCTGGAGCTCACAGCTTTTTACCATCAACTTCTGTCAAAATTTTGATCTCCTCTCTTTCCCACTCTCAGCACTGGCGCGCTGGCTAGTCTTATGTCAACTTGACACAAGCTAGAGTTATCTGAAAGGAGGGAACCTCAATTGAGAAAATGCCTCCATAAGAGTTGGCTATAAGGTATTTTCTTCACTAGTGATTGACGGAGGGAGGGCCTTGCCAATTGTGGGTGATACCATCCCTGAGCTAGAGGTCCAGGGTTCTATAAGAAAGCAGGCTGAGTAAGCCATGTGGAGCAAGCCAGTAAGCAGCACCTCTCCATGGCCTTTGCATCAACTCCTGCCTCCAGGTTCCTGCCCTGCTTGAGTTCCTGTCCTGACTTCCTTCAGTGATGGACTACAATATGGAAGTGTAAGCCGTATAAACCCTTTCCTTCCCAACTTGCTTTTTGGTCATGGTGTTTTGTTGCAGCACTAGAAACCCTAACTAAGACAACTGAGGTTACAGGTACGTGCAGACATGCCCGGCTTTTTTACATGGGTTCTTGGGGGCGTCAAAACTCAAGACCTTATCCTTATGCAGCAAGTACTCTAACCCCTAAGCCCTCCTCCAAACACCATTAGTTTCATTCTTTGTGTTTGGGGGAGTCATGTGTATATGTGTGCTACATGTGTATGTGTGTATGTAAGTATGTAAGGGGATAGGATTTCCACATCGTGTCTTGACTCCATTTTAATTAATTAACTAGTTAATTAATTAATAATTTGGCTGGGTGTGGTATTGCACACCTTTGATCCCTATACTTGGGAGGCAGAGGCATGCAAATCTCTGTGAGTTCAAGGCTAGTCGGGTCTATGTAGAGAGTTGCAGGCCAGTATGGGCTACATAATGAGGCCCTGTCTCAAAAAACATTTTTATTACATTTTATTTATTTAGCTGAGTGGTGGGGTATGTGGCAGTCAGAAGACAACCCATGGGGGCCAGTTCTCTCCTTTCATCACGTGGGTCCTGGAGATCGAACTCAGGTCCCCAGGTTTGGTGGCAAGTACCTTTTCCTGCTGAGCCATCTCTCCAGCCCTCTACTTTATTTGTTGAAACAGGAGCTCTCATTGAACCCGAACTCCTGCAGTTGGCTGGGCTGGTAGCCAGTGGGCTCTGGAGAACCAGCTCTCTCCACCTCTCCAGTGCTGGGATTAAAGGTGTGCACCACCCTGCCCCAGGTCTTGCCCAGTGCTGAAGATCTGAACTCAGCTCCTCACGTTTCTTTGGCACGCACTTTACCAACAGAGCCACTGTCTCAGCCCCAATTTAATTCTTTGTAATGAAAAGGTAGAAATTACTTTCATTTACGCACACCCCAGCAGAGGTCTTGATTATTGTCTGGGATTCACAACTCCCTTTCAGGTGGATGGAAGTAATTGCTTTATTGATTAAGACAGTAGCTGTGTACTGTCTCGGGAAGAACATGCATTTCTTCTTCAATGGTCTAATGGCTCATGCATTTTTCAGTTTTAAAAAATGAATTTAATTTTTGTGCATGTATGTCCATGTGGGGGTGTGAGTGTGCATACGTGGAGGTCAGAGGACAACTTGTGGGACTCAGCTTTCTCCTTTTCCCATGTGGGTTCTGCGGATCCAACTCAGGTTGTCAGGCTGACAGCAAGCATGGTCATCTGCTGGTCCATCTCACCAGCCCAGATGAATATGTTTCCAAATGTTCTAGCTGCCATGCTGGTTCTCATCTCTCGGTAATGAACATGTGTGAGAGTAATTTTATTTGTATTTTTTGGATACCGCATTGACTTGAGGCATTACTGAGACGTGAGACCTGGGAACCAGCGCTACTGAGTGTCAGTGTGAGAGACAGCCCATTGCATGGGAAGTACCTTCTTCAACACATCTGTAACATGGTATATGAAAGGCATACCCTTAGGACAATTCCGATTATTAGGCAACTCCGAATTAGTCTACAAAACAAATATTTATTCAGCAGCCAGCAATACCATGTTTTGAATCTGAATTCCTCGCCGTCTCTCTTGGCAGCTAGTCTTGTGGTAGTCGATTGAAGTCTACGCCATGCAGTTGCTACAGGCTGACCTGGAGTCCCCTGAATGCAATTCTTTGCTCTTCAGTGCTCTGCCTTCTTGTATATTCCCTCTCGTGAGCTAGCACGGCTGTGTGCTATTTACATACTTATGGACTGGGAGTTTGACTATGGTTTTCTAATATATTAAGAAAATATTGTTGATGACATTCTTTAATGGGCTTTTATTGCTTGTAGAATCTACGTCGATGTCACCTTTTATTTCTAACATGCATGATTTTCATTTCTCTTTATAAATTTTTTTGTTTTTATTTATTTATTTATTTATTTTCACTTTTGTTTTTCAAGACAGGGTTTCTTTGTGTAGCCCTGGCTATCCTGGAACTGGCTCTGTAGACCAGGCTGGCTTCAAACTCACAGATATCCACCTGACTCTGCCTCCTGAGTGCTGGGATTTTAGTATTTTTTTTTCTTAGAAATGTTCTATTTTATTTAGTTTTTATTTTTCTTGAGGCAGGGTCTCCGGTTTTTCAAGACAGGATTTCTCTGTGTAGCCTTGGCTGTCTTGAACTCACACTGTAGACCAGGCTGGCCTTGAACCCACAGAGATCCTCCTGCCTCTGCCTCCCAAGTGCTGGAATTAAAAGCGTTCACCACCTCACCCTGTTTGTTCTCATTCTTTGAGAGAGGTCTTGCTATATAGTCCAGGTTAACCTGGAATTTGAATTGTGACTCAAACTGGTCTTGAACTCTCCATTGTTAGTAGTGTTCTCACTATTTATTGAGTTAAAAATGTCTTTGTGTGTGGTTCTTTTCTCGGATACATTTGTTTTTCAGAATTGTGTTTTTACTTGCCAGGTATCCTAGGACTTGTAAAGATATCTTGTTCGGGATGATTTTTACACTAACTGCTATTGAGTCCACAGAATATCACCTGTGAATTTTCAGGCTCTGGATCTGTATCTCACCATCTACTGTGGTGAATGCCCCGCCTCCATACAAAAGAATGAGTGTTCCACATTGTTTGAGAATATTTGTAAGTGTTGTTTAGGTCAAGAGCATTGAGAGTGTGTTGTCTATATATTTAGTAATTTTTGTGAGTGAATTTGCCTCTTAGTTTGGTCGGTTTTGTTCATGCATTAAACCCAGGGGCTGGTGCATGCTGTGCCAGTGTCCTACCCCTGAACACACCCCAGTTGTCCACCATTTAAAAGCTATTACTGCTTGTTTCTTCCTCATTCTTACTTCACAAGCTGGAGACCAAACTGAAGGCCCTGCCCCTTTTCATATCTATCAGCCTATTTTTGTATCTTTTGTTTAGATTGGAATTTTTTTATTTCTCTGTCTTCAAGTTCATTTATTCTTGATTTTGCTCCTGAACCCATACACTGAGTTTTTAATATTGGTTATTCTATTTTTTTTTTAAAAAGAACATTTAGATCCAGCAAGGGAATGTGGCTCATTTCTCCTTTCTATCTTGAAAAAAACTTTATTATTGGCAAAATAATGGGTTTTGTGACACTTCCATACATACATTTAATGTTCTTTGACTGTATTCTCACCCACATAACCGTCTTATAACCTCTCTTTATCCTCCCAAATAGTCTCCATTCTTTTGAACGTTCTCTATTCCTTGATTACTCTGCGTATGAGAGAAAATGTGATCCTCATCTTTCTGAGCCTGGCTTATTTCACTTAACACGATGTCCTCTGATTCCGTCATCAACACAATTTCTTTCTTCTTTATGCTTAAATAATACTCCACTGGATGCACACCACATCTTCTCTGTGCATTGGTTCACTCACCAATGGGCATAGCTGGTTCTGTAGCTTTAGCTCTTGAGGACAGGGATGTGGTGAGTGAAGGTGTGCCAGCATTCCTATTGCCAGCTGACAATACTTCCTTCAGGTGTGTACCGGGCAGTGGTACCCGGATTATGTAGTAGTTCCATTCTTCGTGTTTTGAGGAACCTCCATCCAACCGTGGCTGGACCGACTTACATCCCCGCCAACAGCACACGGATCCCCTTGTCCCTGCATGACTGCCAGCATCTCTGGGTTGGTGTTTTCTGGATGGTAGCCATTTGGGTTGAGGTGAGATGGAACTTCTACTTAGTTTTGATTCGCATTTCTCTGATGGCTAAAGAGGTTAAACATTTTTTTTTTCATATAGTTATTGGTTAATTGTACTTCATTTGAAGCATCTATTTAGGATATTTGGCCATTTGTTGATTGGATTATTTGTTCTTTGGGTGTTCATAGTTTTTAAAAAAATTATTTCTGTGTGTGTATGCATGCATTTGTGTGTGTGTGTGTGTGTGTGTGTGTGTGTGTGTGTGTGTGTACGCACATGAACAGGTGCCACAGTGTGAATGGCGAGGCCAGAGGATAGTTTGCTGGAGTTGGTACTCTTCTTCCAGGGATCAAACTCAGACAGTTAGGCTTGGCAGTGAGCATCTTTACTAGATGAGCTACCTTGTCTGCCCATTGTTTTTCTTTTTTCTTTTTTTTTTTTTTAAGTTTTTCGAGACAGGGTTTCTCTGTGTAGCTTTGCGCCTTTCCTGGAACTCACTTGGTAGCCCAGGCTGGCCTCGAACTCACAGAGATCCGCCTGGCTCTGCCTCCCGAGTGCTGGGATTAAAGGCGTGCGCCACCACCGCCCGGCTTTGTTTTTATTTTGAATGTGTCTGTGTGTGTATGATATCTTGTATCTTATCAGAACAGAACGACATGAAACAAGAAATCAACAGCAAGAGAACGGTAGAAATTATACAAGCACATAATATTTGAACAACATAATTTTGGACAATTAGTGGGTCGTTGAAGAAATCAAGGAGGGAATCTTAAAAGCTCTCAGAATCATGGAGACAGCAGCACAGCCTTCCAGCACCTTGAGAACGCAGTGAAGGGAGCTCTAAGGGGGAAGTTTATAGCTCTGAGTGCTCACATTAAAAGCAGAGAGGAGCTAGAGAGGTGGCTCGGCAGGTGAGCGTACTTCTTGTTTTGCAGAGGACCAGAGTTTGATTCCCAGATCACATGGTGGCTCACACCATCTGTAACTCCAGTCCCAAGGAGTCCAACTCCCTTTTCCTGCCAATTTGGGCACCAGGCATACATGTAGTGCATAGACACACATGCAGGTAAAACACATATGCAGGTAAAACACACATATGAAAAAGGAGATAGAAAAAGAGAGGGAAGAGAAGGCATAAGAGCAGCAGGGGGCGGAGTCAGAGGAACAGGAGGCGGAGTCAGAGAAGCAGGAGGAGGAGTCAGAGGAGGGGGGGTGGAGTCAGAGGAGCAGGGGGCAGAGGAAGAGGAAAAGGAGGAGGAGTCAGATGGGGCGGAGTCAGAGGAGCAGGAGGAGGAGTCAGATGAGTGGGGAGTGAATTCAGGGGTGCAGGGGGGACAGAGGAAGAGGAGCAGCAGCAGCAGCAGCTCAAATAAACAACCTAATGCCACACTCACAGTCTTCAATGAACAAGAATAAGCCATACAGTATCATTGTGTAGGCACACCACCGTCTAATTACTTTTATCAGTCCATAGATGGAAAGCAGGTTTTTATTCTAACTGGAAGTGAACTTGACAGAACCCAAATTCCAAATTCTCCCCTACTAAACATAGACGGTCTCACCAACCAGTGCCTTCCTTTCGAGAATGGAGAGAAGTCCAGGTTTTGTCTGTTTCTGACTGCCCTTTAACACCTCTAGACAGATGTCTTTGCATTTGATTTCGGGTTTATAGTTGTGTTGGGGTTAGCCAATAAGATGCACACGGTTGTTGTTGGATGCAGAACTCACAATGCGCTTCCGTCACCTAAGTTAGCCTTCCACAGACTTAGCTTCTTCCTGCCTCTTTGGAGTTGAGATAGGATAGATGCTTCTGGCAAAGAAAGACTGAGGTTGCTGACTTGAAGTTCCTGAATTGGTGGGAGGTAAGAAGCTGCAATCTCAGAACTAGAGATTTCAGAGTCTGCAGATCCGTTGAGGGGGTTATTGATAGAATGAAAATATCTATTCTTTACTCTTGGCTGATGAGAGAGTTGGATTTAAGGCTTTACATCTTATCACAACTCTTGTGATTTGGGACCAACCTGGCTAAGGAGGCTGTAAAATGTATCCTTGACCTTACTGTTTCTTTGTTTCTTATTTTTTAGGGTTTTAAAAAAACATTTGTTTGTGTGTGTATGTGTGCATGTGCCATGGCATGTGAGTGGAGGGTAGAGGTCATCCTTCTCCTCTACCATGTGAGTCTGGGGGACTGAACTAAGGTCATGGGGCTTGATGGCAGGTGCCTTCTACTCGCTGAGGCATCTTGATAGCTTCCTTTCCTCTTCTTTCTAAAAGATTTCTTTAAAAATTATTTTTAATTAGGTATATGTGTGTGTCTGGGTATGTGCACATGAGTGCAGTGCCCTAGGAGGCCAGAGGTGACAGGTCCCCCTGGAACTGGAGTTCCAGGTGGTTGTGAGCCACCTAACATGGATGCTGGGAACTAGACTAAGGTCTTCAGGAAAAGCAGTACATGCTCTCAACCCCTTAACCAGTTCTCCAGCCACCACCACCCCCAGCCACCATGACACATCTTAGTTTGGTTTCTATTGCTGTGATAAACACCATGACCAAAAGCAACTTGGGAGGAAAGAGTTTATTGGTTGTATAACATCCCAGGTACAGACTCCCATAGAAGAAACTGTTGGTGGTTCGAATGAGAATGTCCCCCATAATATCTGGCAATTGAATACTTGGTCCCCAGTTGGTGGTGCTATTTGAGGAGGCTTAGGAGGTGTGTCTTTGTTGGAGGAAGTGCATCACTGTAGTTTGAGAGGTGAGCTCTCACCTGTTCCTATTACCATTTCTGCCAGGCCACAATTCCCTGTCACTATGAACTCTAGCTCTCTGGAACCCTAAACCCAAACAAACTCTTTCTTTTTGGTCATGGTGTTTTATCGCAGTAATTAAAAAAAATTACCTAATATAGAAGCCAAGACAGGCACTCAAGATGGACAGGAACTTGGAAGCAGGAACTGGAGGGGTGCTGCTTACTGGCTTACTCCCCATGGCTTGCTCAGCCTGCTTTCTTATATACTCTCGGACCACCTGCCCAAGGATGGCACCCCACACACACAGTGTACTGGGCTCTTCCATATGAAATATTAATCAAGAAAAATACCCCACAGGCTTGCCTACAGGCCAATCTGATGGGCACATTTTCTCAAGTGAAGTTCCTTCTTTCAGATGACTCAAGCTTGTGTCAAGCTGACAAAAAACTAATCAAGACACCTCCTTTCTTTCTTCCTAAAGAGGATTATTCCCTTCCTCTTCAGAGCTGGGAATCCCTGGGTTTGGATCCCCAGCACCCACATAAAAATCCAGTGTAATGGCACACTCCTGCAACCTAGTAGTGAAGAGGCAGAGATAGGGGACTCCCTAGACTCAGGGCAGAGATAGCGCTAGAGTCAAGAACACAATCTCTGGGATTGATTGTCAACAACAACTTTAGTAAAGTCATCATTATTATAAAGATGTCTCTGAGAAGCCTTCCCCCTTTCTTCCTCCCAACCATCATAGTTCATCCTGAGAGGCTCTGTGGTCTACTGGCAATTCCATGAAGGATTAGGCATACATTTTAGGCAACACGGTATTCCCACCCAGTATGCCTTGCTCCTGAAATGCAGAGGGTGCTAGGTAGAGCATATGCCTAGATATTTGCACAGCTGAGCAAATAATTTAGTAGTCCTTTGATGCAGAACTCAGTGTGCATTTCATCCAACTACTGACCTCCCTCTCTCAAGCCTCGGGCAAATCTTGTGGTTCTGACATCATGTTTGGCTCTCCTGGACCAATTACTTGCTCACTTCATTTCACTAAGTCATGAATCAAAACTTGGGTAGTAGGTAGTACCTAAGTTGAAGTTTAACATTTACTCATTATTTCTAGCCAACCAGAATGAAGAAACTACCTTTCATTTTGAAATTTTCATTTGCATGTGTGTAGTGTGGTGTGCATGTGTAGTGTAACATGCTCCTTACATGTGTGCATGTCTATGCCCCTATTTTTGGTTTACTGAGACAGTCTAATATGTATTTGGCTGGCCCTGAATTCCTCATTCTCCTACTTCTACCTCCCAAGTGTTAGGATTAAAAGAATGAGTTTCCATGCCTGGTAATTTTTTTGTAAGTTAAGTCCAGAAAAATTTCAGGCGTTACACACAATGTTCATGCTGTGATTTTGAACTCTGCCCTAATTGTTTTTGATAAAAGTGTAACAGGATCCCAGACGTTTAGTAGGCTCCCAGACCTTAGCACAACTGACCCCATGGTGGAAATGGCATTCAGGTTGTAAAACTCAGAATGTAGACAGCACCATCTGCCAAAAATGAAAACAAGGACCTAACCCACCAAAGTCCATAGTTCTGGACTTTGTGTCTCTAAGTGTGCTAACTTTGCTTTGTGGCTTCTGTAGTTCTGCTTTGACTAACTGTTTTTGTTACCTGAAGTAAGTCAACCCAGAACGTGGTTTTTGTGTTTAAAAACTCATCTTGAGAAAGGCTTGGTGCTTCACTGGGATCCCAAGCACCCACTGTAGTCTCTGGTTGGCTAATAAAGACTTTCTTTTGGTTTAAATCCACGCCTGAGCAAAGAACCAGACAATAGAGCCCATTCTTCCTCTCTATTCATTCATGCTTTTGAGGATTCTGCATGTCATAAGCACTTAACATTTGTCACAGTTCTTAGACTTTATGACTTGGGACAGAATACAAAATCAAAGATTATTGAGAAAAGTGTTTGAAAATAAACAAGAGGCGCTTTGCTGATATACTGTCTTGATTGTCTTTATAAAAATACAGATTATGTGACTTCTTTGAAGAGACTCGTGGCTTCGCGGTATGCCGATGGCCTGTTTCCACAGTTCTACACAGCAGAGGATGGGAGGCTCTACAACGTAAGTCAGAGTTCCCGCAGTGGTCAGGTCTCATGAAAAGAGGCTGTAGTCGCATTCAGATCCCGGGGGTGGTGGTGGTGGTGGTTAGCCAGGCGGTGGTGGCACACACCTTTAATCCCCGCACTCAGGAGGCAGAGGCAGGTGGATCTCTGAGTTCGAGGCCAGCCTGGTCTACAGAGGAAGTCTCAGGATAGCCAGGCTACACAGAGAGATGCTGTTTTGAAAAACAAAGTAACTACAACAACGAAAGATTCCAGGGGTTATGGAGATGCCGGCTTCAGGTTTTCTTTGGGCAGTGGTAGAGTGGTGATGTGTGGTTAAGCACAGGGGAGGGAAGCCCATGGCCTGAAAGAGATGAGAGCAGGAAGCTCTTGATCAGCTGCTTGATAATCAGCTCTTGATTACGTAGCATCATGTTGTCTTACTTTGAAATAGAGGGTAAAGAAAAGACACTATGACATTCTCTGAAGTTACCCAATGGAGGACTAGGGGCAGGTTGGGAGGTGGAGCCCTCCGCTCCGAGAGTTTACTCATATGACACTGGGACCCACAACTGGAGCTCATGGTCTTGTTGGAGACACACGCTTCATCCTGTCCAGAAGTAGATGTTCACCTATGTCAAGGTACATCCGTGTACCACCAGGACTGTTGTTTCCTAAAACAGCCATCCCTTGGAATTCACAGAGGGTGCTTCCAGGACCCCTGGGTTAGTCAAGGTTGTCTAAAGGAATAAGATTACTAGAAAGAATCTATTTCTTAAAAGGGGATTTATTATAGTGGTTCACAGACTTTGGTCCAGCTTCTCCAACAATGACTACCTCCAGATGGAAAGGCCAAAATTTTGTAGTTGTTCAGTCCATGAGACTAGATGTCTCACCAGTCCAGAAGGATTCCTAAGAGCTGCTGGTCTTTTGTCTGCATTGGAATCCTGAAGAAGTGGGCCCTAACACCAGCAAAGGAACGCCTCAGCTACAGGATAGATGAACTTGCCAGCAGGAGTGAGGGGGCAAGCAGGCAAAAGGAAAAAGCTTCTCTCTTCCCTGTCCTTTCATGTGGGCTGCTACCAGAAGGTGTAGCCCAGATTTAGGGTGGGCCTTTCCATCTTAAATGGTCCAATCAAGAAAATCCCTCATGGGAGTGCCAAGCTGCTTGGGTTTCAGCTGATTCCAGATGTAGTCAAGTGGACAATTAATATCCATCACAATCCTCAACAGATACCGAAATCCAGTATGCTCAATTCAGTTATGACGGAGCATGGCATTTGCTTAAAACCTATTTGATTCTCCTTCATACCTTAAGTTATCTCTAGGTGAATCATAATACCCAACATAATATAAATGCTGTGTGAATATGTCTTACATCATAATGTTTAGGGGATAATAACAATAAAAAGCCTGTTCATAGTCAGCATCCGTGCAGTTCACTTTTTTTTTTTTTTTAAAATGTTTTCTACCCTAGGTTGTTTGAATCTGAATATCCCTGTGGATAGGGAGGTCTGGCTGTATTTAATCTTTTAAAATTGCTCTTCTGAGTTTGGTGCACTAGATCCGTTTTTTTTTTTGTTTGTTTGTTTTTTGTTTTTGTTTTTTTTTTTTTTTTTTTTTGGTTTTTCGAGACAGGGTTTCTCTGTGTAGCTTTGCGCCTTTCCTGGAACTCACTTGGTAGCCCAGGCTGGCCTCGAACTCACAGAGATCCGCCTGGCTCTGCCTCCCAAGTGCTGGGATTAAAGGCGTGCGCCACCACCGCCACTAGATCCGTTTTTAACTGGTCCATATTAAAATCCCCGCAGAACAGTGGAACAGATATCTTTGTCCACAGACATTCACCGCCACATCCCGTGATCCTTCTGCTGTGGCTTTTCTTAGGGGGTGCTAACAAACATGTCGAACCCCAGATAGGGCACCGATGACAGACCAAAGAAAGGGTTCCACCCAAGTCTAGCTAAGTGAACCAGGGAATTTACAGGGGTTACTCAAAGGAGCATAAGGGACTCAATAGCAACCGCATCCTGGGGAAAAAGCCCACTATACTAGGCACGGGTGATGAGCAAAGCCGCATCCTTACAGCTCAGTTATCAAGTCCCCTCCCTCCTCCACAGTGCAGGAACTAGCTCCACACCACGGTCTCAGAATGAGGTCTTAAAACAGGAAATGAGGTGTAGCGGGGGCCGGGGGGCGTGGCTCAATGGGAAAAAAAAAAAAGCACTTGTTGAGCATGCGCAAAGCCCCCAGCACCAAGATGCAACAGAGAAGCGGTGCTGGCCCTCGAGGAGCGAGCTCAAGAGAGATGTAGAGAGAGATGCAGATGGGGTGCGGAAAGGACTTTACCAGATCTTTTAAACGTTTGCTCTCTAAAAGGCCTTGCATTGGGTGCCAGGTCTCCTTGCCTGGTCTGCTTGGCGGATGTATACATACAAGACACTGCCTGCAAGTCTCTGTCACCTTTGGGGGCATCCCGAAGGTATCAGTGGCCGCTGTGAATAACTGGGTGACCCAGGTACAGGCGAGGTTGGTGGAGGAGAGATCGGGCAGAGTGACAAAAAGTCACAACTATTAGAATGAGTAACTGGGCTGTTGTTTTTATAGGAATTGGAGATGTTTGCAGAAATACTTTGCAGTGTCTTACACAGGAAAACTTTTCAGTGAGACTTTAAAAAAAATCTGTCTTGGCTGGTTTTTCTTTCTTCTACTCAGTTTTAAAAGTCTTGGCTGGTTTTTCTTTCTTCTAACCAGTTTTAAAAGTGGCCCTGGCTGGTTTCTGTTTTATATATATACTATATATATAAAATATAAAATAAAGCAAGATAAAACATGGAAGTTGGGTTTTTTTTTTTTTTTTTTTTTTTTTTTTTTTTTTTTTTTTTTTTTTTTTTTTAGCACTACAGTTTAAAGAGATCACATAATCTTTCTGAGAGGCTGGAATCTCCTTCCTGGGTCCTGTGGAGTTCGAAGGCCACTACAGACTCCTTCTAGGTGCACAGCTCCAGCCACAGTGACTGTGACTGTGGTTCTAACTGCTTACTTTGCTACCGTCTCATTGTTCTTGACTTTTTTTTCATTCTGATTTTCATTCAGTTGACAGCGAAGTCAGAGCTGATCTACTGGTTTGTGGATTGTTTAACACAAGCTGTGGAGAGTTATAAGCAGCGGATGGACTGGCTTACCAGTGGGAGCCGGCAGATTTTTGGTGTCATCTTGGAACAGAGCATCACCATAGTACTGGATTGCAGTGACATTCTGATGGAGGAACTTAATCTGTGCCAGGATGCTCTAGTAATGATCCTCCAGGAGCAGGTGGCTCTCCTCACCAAGTTCAACATCATATGGTGAGTTCCCAGTGGAAACATTTGTCCCAGTGAAACTTCATACCGACGTGAACATATTCAGAGTTAAGCAGCAGAGCTAACCCAGTTAGCCTGATGGCAAGGGAGGAGGATTATCATAATTCCGTAGAATATACAATTTCAGCAGAAAACCCACGATGAATAATAAATCTTAGGGAGCTTTTATTTGCTTTTCTCGGGGCACCTTAGGTTTCATGGTAAGAGAGATTCAGAAACTTGCTTTTCTTCAATACACTGGCAGGTCAAAAGAGGAGAATATGAATTACATGTTCATATGATATGTATATATGTGTGTATATAGTGAAGGTGTGACTCTCATTTTTAGAACGGATGACATGATTAAAGGCCACAACTTCTGCTCTCTTTTCCAGATTGAATTTGTGCCACACATTGACCTCTCTTTTGAGTGTAACCCCCTTTAATCAGAACAACAGGTGGTTGCCTTTCTAGAATTTCACTTAATTTAGAGTTGTCATGACTGATTATTTCTGGATTCTTGGAGCCACAGGAATGTGGGCCTCCGTGCTAACTCCTCAGCCACACACACCAGTGGTTCCACCTCCTTGACAACACACATCTGGATAAGTGGGTGGAGGGCAGTGCGCCTCATTGAGTTCTCTATTGAATAACGCACTTTTATCTAAATAGAGGACACCTTTGTGGGTGGGGTTTTGGTCCAGATCTTGACTTTTGGCACTGGTACGTTATTGAAGGAATTGAGTTTTTGATGTGCACGAAGCTTTTACCTTCTCCGACTGTTAACCACAGCATGTGTGCCCCTCAACCCAGAGAAGCCCCACCAAGGGGACCCAGGTATGAGGCAGCTCTCCCTGTGGCGATGGGACATTAGCAACAGCCAAGTCAACTTATTGGCATTATAAACACAGATACATCCGAGTGGTTTCTCTTTTTGAGGTGAGGGTGCCCTTCAGTCATTTCTAAACTCTAAATAAATGGTTTGAGCAAATGCTCTCAGGATTTTAAAATGTATGTTCTGCTGAACTAAAAGCAGTACTATTTTTGACCCAGAAACCATAGCTGGTGGACTCTGTGAGGGCAATGAGAGCAATGCCAATGGAAATGAATTCTAAAACAATGAGTTGCTACCAGCTTGTAAACCATAATACTGTGAGTTGTTTTGAATTTGCTATTGATAAAAGTTTCATGCATTCTGCCTGTTTATGAAAATAATTTCTCAGCTGGGCAGTGGTGGTGCATACCTTTAATCCCAGCAGGTGGATCTCTGTGAGTTCAAGGCCAGCCTGGTCTACAGAGCGAGATCCAGGACAGGCTCCAGAGCTACACAGAGAAACCCTGTCTTGAACCTCTTCCCCTCCCCCCCCAAAAAAAGAAAAGACAGTAATTTCTCCTAGTGTTTGTGTGTGGATGTGTACATGATCCTGTGCATATGCATGTGTGTGCAGATGTGTAGAGGTGTCTCTTTTCAATCACTTTTGTAAAAACTCTTTGCTCCTTTGGGAGTCCACCACCCAGCTTCCAAATAAATACACAGAGGCTTATTCTTTCTTATAAATGCCTAGCCTTTAGCTTGGCTTATTTCTAGCCAGTTTTTCTAAAATTATCCCATCTACCTTTTGCCTCTTGGCTTTTACTTTTCTCTGTTTCTGTCTATCTTTTCTTTCCTTCTTATTCCTTGTCTGGCTGTGTTGCTGAGTGGCTGACCCCTGGCATCCTCCTCTCCTCCTTTTCTCCTTCTATTTATCCTCTCTGCCTGGCAGCCCCGCCTATCCCTCTCCTGCCTCGCTTTTGGCCATTCAGCTCTTTTTTAGACCAATCAGGTGTTTTAGGCAGGCACAGTAACACAGCTTCACAGAGTTAAACAAATGCAACATAAAAGAATGCAGCACATCGTTGCATCATTAAACAAATATTCCACAGCATAAACAAATGTAACACGTCTTCAACTAATAATCCACAACAACTCTTCACTTTATTTTTTTTCCTCGTTGAGACAGTCTTCCATGGAACCTGGAGCTCACTGATTGGCTAGACTGGATGGCCAGCAGGCCCAGGGATCCTCCTGTCTCTGCCTCCCCACTTTCGGGATTGCAGTGTATGATGATGTGCTGCCTTGGTATGGGGTTGCTGACGAACCAAACTTTGGTCCTCGTACTTACACAGCAGGCCTCTTACTAACTGGCCATCTCCTCAGCCCCTCGCTCTAGTTAACACTTGTACCTTTTTGTTTGTTTCCACATCACTCCAGTCCTGTCTCCTGGTCACTGTGCCTGTGGAGGTCATAGCACTTTGGAATCACGCATCACACTCAGTCCACTTTCCTGAACAAGACAGATGTGTCTGAACTGGCTCATGCATTTTTCACAGTAACTTTCAGGGGACTGGCAGTCTGGTTTTCTTTCTTACTGAGGTAACTTGTGGTTGATAACAAAGGCTGACACTTGTGTGGTAGTGTTAATCATGGTCTGATGACTGTTACATATGGTTCCTTTCAGGGTTTCTGAAGAGCCAGTGAAATGGCAGGAATGTGCTGTCGTTGTGACTGAACACTCCATAGCTGCTGCCATCTGCTGGGTCAAGAAAATGACTTTTCAGATAATGGCTGTGGGAGAGGCTAGCTGCCTGGATGCTCTGCTGGAAGCTGGGAGAGATGAAACTGTAAGTGTGTATCCATGGCTGGCCCGGGTCACCGAGGTGGCTTCAAGCTTAACTGTATACAGTTGGTGTCTTCACACTGCTGATCTGGGTCTCCTTCTAGTTGCTTCTTGTGGAAACCCTAGCATTATCACTGAGAGTACCTGCCTTAGCTTCCCGTCCAGTTGCTATGATAATATACCCCAACCAAAAGCAATTTTGGGGAGAAGTGATTGATTTCTGTTCATGGTTCCAGGTTATAGCCATCATGGGGGGATGTCACAGCAGCAGGAGGCTGAGAGAGCTGGTTACATTGTCCCCACAGTCAAGGGCAGAGAGAGAGAGAGCCAGAGAGAGAGAGAGAGAGAGAGCTCACAGTGACTCTCAGCTTATCTTCTCTTTTATACAGTCCAGGACCCAAACCTGGAGAACAATGCCATTCACCTTTAGCTGGGTCTTCCCATATCACTGAATGCAATCAAAACAATCTCCCACAGATATGCCCACAGGCCAACCTGATCTGGATAATCCTTCATCAAGCAGTTCCGCCCAGCTGATTGCAGATAGTGACAAGTTGACAAAACTAACCAGCACGAACGATCCCAAGAGCATAATCCCATTCACCCCTGAACCCTAACCAGTCTAGGAGTTCCAGGTTTCAGATAGGGATCAAAGTGAAAGCTTTGGTGATGGCAGAGTTGGAGCAACCATAACGGGGCCCACATACTTGTCCAGTGAGCCTACTCAAGCTTCTCTGTGGGGGTTACTAGAGCCTCGGGACAGAACTTTATGTAGCTAGTTTGAAGAAAACACACAGGAGTGTGGCCAGGCCATGCATTTCTAAGAAAACACACAGGAGTGTGGCCAGGCCCTACATTTCTATGAAAACACACAGGAGTGTGGCCAGGCCATGCATTTCTAAGAAAACACACAGGAGTATGGCCAGGCCATGCATCTCTAACATATTTGTTCTAGTCTTGCTCTCCTGCTGAATAGAGAAATGAATCTCTATTTTATAGGACATGGAGAAAGGCTGGGAGACTCCTCAAAGAATCCTGAGAACAAGGAAATAGCGTTTCCCCTGACACCCACGTTCTGACTCTTTCCCAATTCCTTCTCATCATGGAAGGAGGTGGTATTATGTGTACCTACGCTGCCGAGCCTCGTGTGATGGTCAGCTGCAATTGTCACCTTGACACAACACAGAACCACCTGAGAAGAGAGTCTCAGTGAGGGATCGTCTCCACTGGGTTGGGCTTGTGGGCACGTCTGTGTGGGGTTGTCTTAGTTGAAATGGGAAGAGCCAGCCCACTATGGGCAGCCTAGGCAGGGAGGCCCCTGAGCTATGTTAGAGTGGAGAGATGGAGCTGAGCACAAGTAAGCGAACATGCGTACATTCATTTGTCTCTGCTCTCACTGTGGATGTCACGTGACCAGCTACTTCAAGCTCTGTTGCCATGACTTCCTTGCGGTGATGGACTGTAACCAGGAACTGTGAGCTCAAATAGATGGCTTTCTCATGGAAGTCGAGATTTTTTTTTTTAATCACAGTGACAGAGATGAAACCAAGATGGCACCTATTGTCCATTCTGATATACTGATACACGGTTTTTTTTTTTTTTTTTTTGGTTTTTTGAGACAGGGTTTCTCTGTGTAGCTTTGCGCCTTTCCTGGAACTCACTTGGTAGCCCAGGCTGGCCTCGAACTCACAGAGATCCGCCTGGCTCTGCCTCCCAAGTGCTGGGATTAAAGGCGTGCGCCACCACCGCCCGGCTGATACAAGGTTTTTGATTGGGACCTTTGATAATCAAACTTCTCCTGAGACAGATGAGAGGAGCAGTGCCTCGTGTCTCCTTTAGCCACAAGGCATGCTTCTTTGAGTGACTCTGGTGATGGGAGCCTTTAAGAGAGTGATAGATACAAGGCCAAGGAATTTCTCTGGGTGGGAGGGATTCCTTAGCCAGCTTCAACTCCTCCAGAGTGGGAGGTGGAGGTCCCCTTGGCTTTGATATATAGATGTTAAATACTTGCTTCCTCTATTCTGGAAGACCGGAGTCTCTGTGGGTTTTAATCTTGACGTAGCTGCATCCAGGAATCTTTCTTTACTAAACAAACAAACAAACAAACAAACAACTAAATGCTGCACACCTCCATTGGCCACCAGCCCATGTTTATCAATACTAAGGCGATGGTTTGAAATTGGGAACACATTTTTCCCCCCTCACAAAGCCAGCTGAACACATGTTTTTTCCATTAAAGAAGAACCAAATACAAATCGCTTTGTTCTTTGGCCCTTTGAGTCTGTTTCGACATCTGCAAAATTCCAAGTGTCTAGATCTTAATAAGCATTCAAAATGGAATGTTTCCCAGGCTGTGTGTGTGTGTGTGTGTGTGTGTGTGTGTGTGTGTGTGTGTGTGCGCTTGCATGCCCTGTCTTTGTGGACTTGACTGTATCAATTACCGCTGACTCTGGCTGTCTGATATGACTCCAATCTCCAGATGACCTTGCTTTCCTCCTTCTTCTCCCCTGGGTTCATCCCTACTTTAGAAAATATGAACAACCCAGTGAGTGCCAGGGGTGTCCTACAGAAGAAGAACCAAGAAAGGCTTCCTCAGGTACTGACCACTGCATTCAACCTGTGGCCTAGAGCAAGTCCAAAGCGTATACAAACCACAGAAGTCCTTCACCAATAGCCTCTACCTGTGGGTGATCTCAAGGAAACTTCTAGTAAACACAGCTGTCTTGTGTATTAGAAAATGCCATGCTTTGTCTTGTGGGAGTGAGAAACAGTATGCATGTGTGTGATGGGGTAGATTGGTTCCCCTAAGGGCCCACTCCTCTGCTCTGTGCCCCCTCGTGGCCACCCTATAGAGTTTCAGTTCATCCTTGTGGTCTGCTAGAAAAAGAAAGGACTTAAACGTCAAAATACTTTCGGAATAGTGACTATACCCAACTAGGCTTTTCCTACTGGTGACAACTTGCTTTGAGTTGTCTTCCTCCATCCATGGGCCCTGGAACTCATAGACATTACTATCCAAAAAATTAACACGGAAGCCTGTATTATGTGATGCCCATCTGTGGAGGAGACCATTGGTCTCATTCAGTACTGGGCTTAGTAACCCAGAAGAATGGACAAAAAGGGAGTCCTGAGAATGAGTCTTGGGGTCTCAGAGGAGCCCAGGTAGAGTGTGAGGGGTCTGTTTAAAACCATGTCTTCAGTACTAGCTATTGCAGGGCACAACTGAAGCCCGATTCATCACTGTATCTTGTGCAAAAGGACCTGGTTCATGGGAAGGGCATCCTGTGAGCCATTGAGGAAATGCTTGGCAGGTGAGGACTGGGGTCCTCAGAGCCCAGCTGTGCTGGCCAGCACAGGGTTTCCACAGTACCAGCAGGCCCTGGAAACCTGCAGACACAGAGCACGAAGGGTCTTTGGGAGAAGAAAAGGCTGTTCCGCAGAGTCCTGGTCCTTGGTTGCCTTTGAAAGCTGTCTGAGGAGTTTCGTTCATGCTTTCAGAAGGTCGTCTGCCCTGCAGGATGCCCGGCTTTCTGTTTTTGTTTATATCAGCCTTTCTTTCATGTAACTGGTAGGCACACATTTAGATTTGAGGGTTTTTAAGTCATATTCACAGGAGACTAAGTGAGTGAATTAAAAGACAGACTCTCCAATCCTATGAGGTGCCTGCCCTGCTGATTGCCAGACTGTCAGTCTGTAAAACTGACATCTCATTTGTTTCCTTGGAGCAGTTTGGACAGGTGTGAAATTTTTCCATTGTGTCCCCGATGCCTAATCAGGGCTCTTGAAATGTTTATTGGACAGTGAAGGAATGAAAAGGAAATACTGTCAATATGGTTGAGTTTGGGAGCTAGGTGTAGGCCCAAGCTAGGTTCTGGTCCCGAACACGTGGCGTAGAATTGAGTTTTGTTTGTTTGTTTTCAGTTGAAGAGATGTGGATGGTGCTGGGCCAGGCAGGTGATTTTGCTGAGCCATAGAGGACTCTAGTGGAGACAATGGGTGGAACACAGACCTTCCAGCCTGGAAGGGCAGAGAGTCAGTGATGGTCCAGGGTGTTAGGAGTGATCCGAGAAGCCGACTAGAACTGATCCCAATGCTGGACATAAGGAGGAGTCATCACCATAAGGGAGTCAGAAAATCAAAGTGGTCCAAAGAAGGAAAGGACTGTCAGAGAGACGGGGAGGACCAGGAGCTAGAGCCCCGGGCCCGGAGTTGGTTTAAAATGCTGCAGCGTTGCGCCGCCGTATGAGGAGAGAGGCAGAGTCTTTGTTAGTCTCTTCGCTGCGCTTGGGGCTGCTCTCCATTTCGCTTCTTGAGGCGGGAAGATTTTATGCCCGAGGCTTTGGGATGACTGCCGGCTTGGACAGGTGTCAGAGAGGGTAACTGGAGTAGAAGCAGCAGCTGCTCCCTGTCTGTTTCTTCCTTTTCTTCCTTCCAAAGCTGAGGATGCTAGGAAGAGGCCAAGGTCTCCTTGTCGGGCAGAAGGCAGGTTGCCATGTAATGGTCCAGACTGAAACAGAACATAAAGGTGCTATCCTAATCGTGTGTGTGTGTGTGTGTGTGTGTGTGTGTGTGTGTGTGTGTGTGTGCGCGCATTTCTCTGAAGGCCCGAGGTCTTCAGATGTCAGATATCTTCTTCCTCAACTGTTCTCCACCTTGCTTTTTGAGACAGTGTCTCTGATTGGACTTGGAGCTCTATGATTGACTGGACTATCTGCCCAGTGAGCCCCGTGGGTCTCCCAATTTTGTACCCCAAGTGCTGTGGTTATAGGCACTCACCACTCACGGAGCCTGAATCTTACAAGAGTGCTGGGGATCGAATTCAGGTCCTCATACTTGAGCCGCAAGCACATTATGGGCCGGACCATCCCCCCCCCCAGACCTTGCCCTTCTATTTTATGTGGAATAAACGGCAGGAGCGTTTAGCTCGCTCCCAAGAGGCTGAACACCTCAGTGCGGCGAAGGCAGTTTTCAGTTCAATGACATCTCAGGGGAAAAACATCTCTACACGAGAGTTTCCGATTCTTGGGCCATTGCCAGCAGCAGTGAAGCATCCTGCCAGAGTCCACAGGCACAGCACTCCTCATCTCTAGGTCCTTATCTCCTTTTGCTCTCACAGACACTACAAGGTACTCTGTCTGTTCCTTGTCTTGGGCCATGTGTCATTTCACATACCTATAAGAGGATATTTCTACATTAAATTTGAGCACAGAGGCACCCCGTTTGTACACCTGGCACAAGGGCTGGGTGGCGCCAGGAAGAGGAACAGCCTGGGATGCATTTGCTGGAAGAAACAATCCAGTCATCGTAATGCTCCATGGAATGCTGTTTCTTGGAATTTTTTTTTCTGCCTGCTGGGTGGCTGGTGGGAGGAGATTTACAGCATCCATCAGGCTTCACTTCCTAGCAGTTCTTTTAAAAATCTGGGAGCTAGTGTTGACAGACTGAAGAGGAAGAGGTGTGGGAGGGGGCAGGGCCTTTCTGTGCCTGCTGGAGGAGGTAGTGGCCGACAGTCTGGTCTGGGTTCTCACTCTGGCCATCTAACTCGCAGCCTGGGTCCTTGGTCCCCTGTTCTACTGGCCCCCTTGGACACCAAGTGTGTTCTTTCTGCTGCAGACATAGGCTCCTAAACAGCTGGGCAGCCAACCATGAGTCCATCCCCTCTCTACCAGGTTTAAAGCTGAGGGGGAAACATTGATTGACTAGCTTCAGCTCTAAGGGGCTGAGGTTAAAGCATAAATAAGTCATGGGCCCCAAGAAGCCTGTTTCTCACCCATGCGGTGCCCTTGCGGAGGACTCTGCCCAGTTCTCTGTGGAAGTGATCAGTTACGGCGATTCTGAGGGACAGGTTCAGATGGTGTCTAATCCTGGCTTGCTTTGATTTGTACTTTCGGAGGTTTCTGTAAAATACACATATGAACATTAGAGTAGATTCCCAAAGTGTAGAAAACCAAGCCATGAAGGGTAAGTTGCACTGTCTCATTTTGACCTAAAGCTAGATCACTTGCCTGAGTTCATGCATTCATGTCAGGAGGAGACCAAGAGTGATATCATTGAGGACATGTCTCATGGGCCCCTTTGGTGGGCTTTATATATCCCTGGATTATGCCAAGAACACTTATTTTTGGTGATGTGTGCATCTCCCAGAATCCCTGGATTAAGATGAACATGTCATTGTAGTCAAGGAAGCAAGTAATTTTCATTAAGACTAGTCTTCCATGTTTTCTCTCATAGATGCTCACCCTGGGGCGGGTGGATGTGGAAGAGGCATATCTCTTCCTTTTTTCACTGCTGTGACAGAATGCTCAACAAAAGAAGGGCTCATTGGCTCTCAGTTTAAGAAGGGACATTGTCCATCAGGAAGGGACGGTGGCAGGAGTGTGGCGTGCTTCATGGCAGTCAGGACACAGAGCAGACAGGAAGCAGAACCGGACTAAGACACCCCAAAGCCTGCTTCCAGGGACCCACTTCCTCCAGCAAGGCTCTCCTTCTTAAGGGTTCTAGAACTTTTCAGAGCTGTGTCACCAGCTGTGGGCGGAGTTGTAAAAACAAATGATTTAATGAGGAGCATTTCACATCCAATCTGCAACAGGAAAGGGACAAGGAACAAGAGGGAGACAAGAGAGGGTGACAGAGAGGGTGGAGGCATCCAGGATTTTGTATAATTAGTTACATCAACATAAAAAGGTGTATGTGTAGTGTGTATTTGTGTGGTGTGTGTGGTCTATTTGTGTGTGTGTATGTGTGTGTGTGTGTGGTATGTTTGAGTGTGATGTGTAGTATATGTGTTGTGTGCCTATGTGGTGGTGATGGTATACGTGTGTGTGTAGTATGTACAGTGTAGGTGGTTGTAGTGTGTGTGGTGTATGTGTAGTATGGTTTGTGTGTGTGTATAATGTGTGGTGTGGTATATGTCTATGGAGTATGGTGTGTATGTGTGGTGTGGTGTGTGTGTATGGGGGCATGGAGTGTGTGTGTGTATGTAGTATGTTGTATGGTGGGGGGTATGGTGTATATAGGGAGTGTGGTGTGTGTCTGTGTGGTATGGTGTGTATGTCGGGGGTAGTATGTAGTACACATGTTGTGTTTGGTGTATTCGAGTGTGATGTGTGATATGTGGTATGTGTGTTAATTGTGTGTATGTGTGTGTTGTGTTGTGTGTGTGCAGTGTATGCAGTGTGTGTGTTTGTGTGTGTGTGTGTGTGTGTGTGTGTGTGTAATGTATGGTGTGGTGTGGGGGGTATGTGTGAGTGTGGTATGTGGTATGTGGGTGTGCTGTGTGTGTATTGCTTCTGACATGATTGTCCATTCAGCATTCTACTCTGGCACAGCTGTGTGGAGCAGAGCCGTGTGGGCACATCATTCTCCTGACCAGCTGCATGGAGTCAGGACAGCCTCATTTCCCCAGGCATGTGTTTCCCTAGTGTGGCGAGAGCAGAGGATGAGCCAGCTGGGAATACACCCTCTCTTCTGCATCCTGCCTCAGATTGACAATGGATGAGTTTGTGCTGTAGAGTTCTGGCACCACCGAGGAAGTGGATAATAATATGCTCCCTGTTCTCAGTGGCTGACTGGGCCAAAACTTTGTTGTTTTTTTTTTTCTTGAAAACTACCTTTCCTCTCCTGTCTATGTACCTGTAGGCCTGAGGCAGCAGCTCTTCTCAAATCTGCCAACTATATTCTTCTTTGTGTAGCCCCCGAGGACCGCCACCGCTGTGAAGAGATCTTGAGTGATTCACTTGCTGGCCTTGCCTCTCAACGTCATTGCAGGACACCGAGCATAACTTCTGTTCTTTCTGCCCTCTCTTTTTTACAGCAATTAGAAAACGTGTTGCTGATGAGTCTAGTGCAAGGCTGGGTGTACAGCAGGCCGATAAGCTGTCGTCATTGGTGCCTCTGTCTTGCAGATCGAAGCCATTTACTACTTTGTGGTGGGGGATGTTCCGGAGGAGTCCCAGGAGCTGCTTCTCCAGAGGATTTTGGAGATCCCATATCCAGTCTGCACAGTGTCCTTCAACGCCAAGGGAGAAGAAACCGTAGCTTTCTTAAAAAAGCTGAGCACCAAGACCCACAGCAGGTAGGCAGAAGACGGACTCGGGAGGGCCCGAGCACGGGTGGCCCACTTACAATCTAGATGCTTACCCAGTATGTCCTTGTGTACGGTCTCCATGGTCTGTGTACACTTTTCTTTATCATACATCGATCCAGGTCTTCTGTTTTGACATCTCGCAGTCTTTCAGACTGAAGAGACTGCCCTCTCAGTCAGCTAATTCCTAGAGACAGTAAGTACTGCCTGGAAGTTACAGGCTCTCACGCTCAGGCCAGTTATCACCCCAGGGCCAGACACTGGACTACTGGAGATAGCTCCACACCCTATTGCTCACTGCATATTGGTCACACCAGCCAGTCTTTTCTTGAACATAGAGGTTATTGTATATTAAAGAAGCGGGAATTGTTAGTGATATTGAGGCCTGGACTTAGCCTTTATTGGCACCAAAGACAAGCCGGAAATACATATTTTCACCCACCATTTTGCCTAATAGAGTTGGTGGAAATGCTGTTCCTTGCCCACAGCTGTAGGAATCCTGACTTTCCATGTCTGAAGAGGGTCAGGACTCTTCATGTGCAACAAGACCTTCGAGAATCTGAGCTCACCACCCCAGAAACTTTGTAAACACTTGGAAATCACCAGGCATAAGATTTTGACCCAGGGATTCTGAGTATCCCCAAATTGATAGTAGGGGGCTGCTCATCCACTCTCTCCAGGGTAGAGAGAAAGACAGCTGGCAGAATTCCCTCTCTGCCTTGTCCTTGCCCCCCATCTCCTGGGGAACTTTCTCTAGGAGGTTCAGCGCTCAGGGAGCAACATGTCACAGGCAGTGCTGATTCAGCTTCCGGCTTTCAGATCATCCGTTGCAGGGTGGTGGGTTTGCATAAAATAGTCAGTGGAGGAGTGCCCTCTTCTGCGTGCTCTGGACCCTCACAAGGGAGTCCTGTGCACAGCCCTCGGTGCTTCTGCCTAAGGTGGCGTGGGCTCAGACACACCATGCCTTCTGCTGTTCCTTTGTGCTCAGGGATTCCGGGCCCAGCTAGAAGGCAGAGCATACCCAACTGGGAACAGCCTGCCTTTCTGGTTTTAGCTTGCTGGCTGCCTAGGCCATGGGCTCTCCACTGGCCTCTGATTTCCCACCAGCACAGCGTCCAAGGCTGTGTTCATGTGGAGCCCCCAGTGTGGGGGTGGGTGCTGTGGTGTAAGTAGTACTCTCCAAAGAGCCTTTCATAACTGTGTCTCACCCCATTAGAGGAACTTCCACCCTGCTCTCTTCTCTAATCTGGAGAAGAGATTGGAGAGGGGAAAGTTCTAGACACCCAAGGCCTTGGCACTCAGGGTTCAGGGTCTGCCAGGACAGACCTCACCCACCCCTACACACACACACTTTGCCCTATCAAGTGGTCACCAAAGGAAGAGAACTGGCCATTTCTGCTCTGGAAAGTGCCTACAGGAGGCAGGCATAGGCGGGCTGGGTGCCCCGGCCTCAGGGCCACAGGGATGAGGATGTCTTGGTCACTGCTACCAAGTCACTGTGCCAGTCTCAGCTGAAGCTCTTTAGGAAAATGACAGTCTTGACACAATCCAGGAGGCCCCGAGACTGTCCCCACTTTTGTTCACTTTTCTGTCCACTCCGAGTGGTCCGGCAGGATTCCCTGAGTTGCGTTAGCAGTGACAAGCAGAGGCTGATCTCTGAGTACCACCTGAGTCTTCCTTCGTGAATCATAAGCTGAGGGAGTCCTAGCACTGACAGGGGAGGGGTTTCGGGAGTGCAATCTAGGGCCTGAGGATGTAGCTCAGGGTGCCTGACTGGTGTGCCTGAGGGCCTGTGATCCCGCTGCAGCATTGCACAGAAGGCAGAGAAAGAGAGAAAAAGAGAGGTTAGCCCATCACCTTGCCCCGCACCAACAACCGCAAGCTTTACCGTGCACATGAATCCTCCGGGGATCTTGTTAAAGTCATGTTCTGACTCAGCAGGTCCAGGCAGGAGCCTGGGATCATGGATCTCTCACCAGCTCCCCGGCCGTTCCTGGGACCACACTTGGAGCTGGCAGGCCCTCAAAACTTGCCCACACAGGAATTCTTTTCATTAGCTCTTAAGCTCAAAGCCTGGGGCAGTATGTGTTTGCTGAGTTACAGTTGACTGAGGCCGCTCAGCAACAGGCAAATTAGTTAAGGCTGTCTGTACCCCCGGCTTTCAATGCTGAGCCAGTTGATGCTAATGGCTGCTAGTGGGGTCCCCCATTTGGTGCCTGGGCCATCAAAACTGTGTTAATGTGATGGAGACTTAGAGACAAAATAGCACTATCATTTCCTAGGCTCAACAAATACCATTTGGTTGAGCTAATTAATATAATGAGAAGCCACACCACCACCTAAAATCCCAAGCCATTCTTGTGTGTGTGCATGAGGCTGTGTATGGAGGCCAGAGTCAATGTTGGACATTTTCCCTAGTCACTTGCCACCTTATTTTCTGAGACAGGGCTTCTCACTGAACTTGAAGATCACTGATTCACTTGGGCTGGCTGGCCAGCAAGCTCCAGGAGTCTGTCTGTCTATATCTCATCAGGGCCAGAATCATAGATGTATGCTGCAATTGGCTTCATATTTGGGTGCTGGGGATCCAAACTCAGGTCCCCATGCTTGCTCAACAAACTGAACTGAGCTGTCTCCTCTGCTTGGCTTTGGATTGTGGGAGTTGACAAGACAAGGTATAGGGAAATCAGAGAAGATGGTTAAGGTAAAGAGACTTGGCATTGGGTGTAGAGTTGTATGCCTATAGTCCCAGCTACTTGGGAGATAGAGGCAGGAGGATTGCTTGAGCCTAGAATTTTAGGGCAGCATAGTGAGACCCAATCTTGAGAAAACACAACAAACAAAACCCAGATTTGGAGCACCAAAGACAGCAAATTGACTGAGAGAGTTGATAGGCATGTGCCTAATACAGAACACCTTTCATGTTTCAGATTCCACGCCTTTGCTGAGAGGACAGAGTGTCTAGAATTCTCTGCATTTTCCACAGAGGATGTTGACAGTTCAATGACTTGGAATTCAAGGAAACTGAAAGGGAGACTCCCGCCAGGTACCTGGAATCCTGAAGGAGCAGTATCACTTGTAATCTTAATCATTTCAAGTGGTCTGCAGTACAGTTTGCCAATAAAGGACAAAGTAGGGACCACCCAATCTTTTGCATTATTTCTGTGGTACCAGGGTGCACCCAGTGGAATTTCATAGTGAGTTGGTCTATCTAGAAATGGCTTTAAATGTATCATTCACAATTTCTAAGAGATGTGTCCCTAGCCATGCTATTACTGGTTAGGTCTAAGGTAGGCAGAGCCACCCTCTTGCCTGGGCTAAGCTGGGATCCCTGCACTTCTCAGGATAGTGCTCTGTGTTTCTTGGAATGGAAGCTGTACTTGCAGTGGGAGCCTGCCCTTGTGAGGGTCAAGGCAAAACAGGGACTTTTATGGAGGCTGAGGGAACCTCATTTTTCATTCAGGAATGTGGCCTAGTGAATGAGATCACAAATCAGGGAGAAAGAGAGCTATGATTCAGAAAGTCAGTAATGGAATTATACTCAGAAAGCCAAGAGATGGGAATTCCTTTGGGGCTGATGAAATGGTGAAATGCTAGACACTGAGTAAAGACAGGGAAGGAAGGTCCTGTCTGATTATTCCATGACACAGCCCAGCATGGTACCTAACTATTTGGAAACTGTTGTGGTTTGAATGGGATGTCCCCCATATCCTCGGGTGTTTAGATACTTAGTCCCCAGCTGCTGATGGTATTTGGAGAGGCCTAGGAGTTGTGGCCTTGCTTGGAAGTATGTCACTTGGGGTGAGCTTTGAGGTTTAAAAGCCTCCCACCAACCCCACTTCACTCTTCCTGCTTCCTGCTTACAGTTTAAGATGTGAACTCTTTCCGGGCAGTGATGACGCACGCCTTTAATCCCAGGGAGGCAGAGGCAGGCGGATCTCTGTGAATTCAAGGCCAGCCTGATCTACAGAGCGAGATCCAGGACAGCTAGGGCTGTTACACAGAGAAAACCTGTCTTGAAAAACCAGAAAAAAAAAAGATGTGAACTCTTAGCCTGCTGCTCCCATCACCGTGCCTGCCTGCTTCCAGCTTCCCCACCATGATGGTGATGAACTCTTATCCCTCTGAAAGTCTACTCCCAAAGAAACCCTATCTTCTATAAGTTGCCCAAGTCATGGTGCTTTACCACCACAGCAGAAAAAATAACTCAGACAGAAGCCTAAGAGAGCCAGTGCCTGCTTCTGCCCTCCTGCTCAACTGTAGTTACCAATCAGGCTTCTAGGTTCAGTACAAGGCAAACACAACTCCTTGGGTCTAGGGGAGAAGCTGAAGAGTCCTTGCTTTGCTTAACAGCGTTGCCAAGGCTCAGAGGAGGAGGATGTTCATATCATCATTTGTGCTGTGACATGGAGAAAATGGCGGGATGTCGGGTCAGAAAGCCCGGACCTGACACACGTTTTGCATATTCAAATTCTTCATGTCCCAGACAGCATCATAGCCGGGGAGAGATTTCAGTAGAGCACTGCTCTAGGTAACTGATACGTATTTCTGATCATGAAGTGGGCATGTCCAGAGGATTTGAGAAAATGATTGGTGCTTCACTGGACTGACTAGTCTTTTGTCAACTTGACACAAGTGAGATCATTCGAGAAGATGGGACACCAACTGAGGACTTGCCTGCCCCATACTCCTGGCCTGCAGGCAGAGACTGTGGAGTATTTTGTTTAATTAATGATTGACGTGGGAGGGTCTGCATACTGCGGACAATGCCACCCCTGGGCATGTGGTTCTGGGTTGTATAAGAAAACACGTTGAGCAAGCCATGGGGAGGGGGGCAAGCCAGTAGGCAGTTTTCCTCCATGGCCTCTGCATTAGTTCTTGCCCGGAGTTCCTCCCCTGACTTCCCTTCATGGTGGACTTTAAGCTCTAGAGGAAGTAAACCCTTTCCCCCTCCCCAAGCTGTTTTTGGTCATAGCATTTCTCACAGCAACAGAAATCCAGCCAGTCGGGGGTTCAGTCAGGGTGGAGAACAGGAGCTGTCACCAGCGCCCCCAAGGCTTGTCAACTGTTACAAATGGGACTTGATTTTGACCTGTGCAATCTCTGGGGTCCTAGTCTGTTTGCTGCTGCTGCTGCTGCTGCGGCACTGAGATACCTGAATAATTTATAAAGGATGGAGATGTATTTGGCTCATGGTTCCCAGAGCTGAGAAATCTAAGAGCATGTAGCTGACATGGAGAAAGATCTTTTATGCTGCATGCTCCTAGGGAAGAAGATGGAAAGGCAAACAGGGGAGAAGCTTGCTTTCATATCAAATCCATCCTCACAGTGACTAACCCATACCCACAATAACGCCATTTAGTCATTCATGAGGGCGGAGTCCTTTTGACCTGGCCACCTCTTAGCAAGTCCCACCTCCCAGTTCTGTTGCTCTGGGGAGTCACATACAAACCATAGCACCTGACATCTGGTGACAAAGGAAACATCTGTCCACGTAGCTAGCATTTCCACAGCTACCATCTTCTCAGCCGTGGAAACAGACAACTTACAGTATGGATAAAAATATTTTCTAAGAATAAAGTGTTTGGCATGCCTTCAGTTTAGTGATCATGTGTTCCAAATTTGGGAGGGAGGTGTAAGGTCCTACACGTTCGATCTTGTCTATCCGTCACAATGCCCCAGAAATGCCAGCGTTTCAAAGTTGACTTCTTCCCACTCAAAAACTGCCCAGAAATCTTGGACGGATGATTTTGGTTTAGAAAATGTGTGGTTTCCGATTTCACCGGGGCTCCAGGGGCAGCTCTCCAATCTTTGTTGTTGTTGTTGTTATTGTTATTGCTGTTCCTTACCACACCAGCCGCTACAAGAATTTAGCGGTCCTCGGTCTCCCGAACCTCCAACAGGGTGGTGGCGTCTGACTCCTTAGGAGATAATTTTATCTTCACTGGGGAGAAAGTAGCCTTTCGAGGGAACATTTAGACAAGCACAACTTAGAGAACTCACTTGCCACTCTGAAAGTTCCAGGTGTTACTGACTTTGAATTCTACATACTTGGTTGTTAAAGTCTGGTTCTTCTCCTTGCTCTACCCCAGTGCAGAAACAAAACAAAAACCAGATGAAAGAACCACTCCGAAGCCAAGATAAAGAATAGTTTGTAAATTATAGTATATATATGTATAATATATATAATATATGTGTGTTTATATATACATATATGCATATATTATGATACACATATATGACACACAGACATAATACCGATATTGTTAAGTGTATAGTTCAGCTTTATTAGGAATATTCACTTTCTGAGCAGCTGTCTCAGCTCCCGAACTCTGTCTTTTCTAATGGAAGCTCTGCACCTAATGAAACAGTGAATTTCTCATGTCTTATTTGGTTTGTGCCTCTGTAACAAAGCATCAGAGCCTGGATATTCATAAGGAAGAGAAATTGATTTCTTATAGTTGTGGAGGCTGAGCAAGCTGAGATCAAGGTGTCTCGTGAACTTCCAAGATGATTGCTGTTGCCGCCTCCTCCAGAGGGGACGTGGGTTGTGTCTTCACTTGGCTGAAGAGACGAAAGGTCAGGAAGCAGCCAACAGAGCTCTCTTCAGTGCCCCCCTCTTTCTCTAAAAAGTATTTTATTGCATTGTTTGTGTGTGTATGTGTGTGTGTGTGTGTGTGTGTGTGTGTGTGTGTGTGTGTGTGTGTGTGTACACCTGTGCCACAGTGTGCATCTGGAGGTAAAAAGACAAATTGCAGGAGTGGATTTTTGCCTTCCACCAGGTGGGCCCTGGGTAGCAAATTAAGTCCTCAGGCTTGGTGGCCATCTCCGCTGCCCTAGGAAGAGCGCTACTCCATTTGCAGAGGAAGAGCCCTCATGACATAATCATTTCCCCAAAGCTCTCACCTCCACTTACACTATCACATTGGAGTGTTAGGTTTCACCATAAGAGCTTAGGACATACACTTAAATCATGTCACCCCATCCCTTGATAGCATGGGTTCTGTGATTGACTATTTTTTTCTTTTCACTTAGCACGATGTCATCTCTCTCCTTTAAAAGAACAGTATTTTTTTTTCTAATGACTTTTATTAATTTTTTTTTGGACACAGAGAAATATCTTAGTTGGTAAAGTGCTTGCTGCACATGCCCGAAGACCCAACTTCAACCCCCAACACTCATATAAAAAAGTTGACTGTTGCTGGACACCTATAATTGCTGCGCCGAGGAGTTAGTTGTTGGAGGCAGGAGGGGCCCTGGAGCTTGCTGGCCTGCTAGCCTAGACAATCAGCAAGCTCCAGGTCTCGAAAGATAAGATGAATAGTGGCAGAGTGACTGAGGAAAACACCTAACATTGACCTCTGACTTACACATTCACATATAAAACCGAGGGGGAGGGGGGAAGAGGGAGAGAGAGAGACAGGGAGACAGAGAAACATAGACATAGACAGACAGACAGACACACACACACGCACACACACACACACACAGAATTAAAATAATTCATGTGTATGTGTGTATGTGTGGTGTATACTCATCTCTGTGTATGGATACACATTCCATGCCTGAATATCTTGCTCTAACACTCTCTTCTGGATCTCTTGAGACAGAGTCTTCTACTGAACCCAGAGCTTGCTGTTTTTTGATGAGGCTTCTTGGCCAGTAAGTCCCTGAAATCTCTCCTGTCTCCAGCCCTTCAGTGGTTGAGTTCCAGGCCTTTTTGCCCACACCAGACTTTTATGTGGGTGTTGGTGATTTGAACTCAGTCTCCTCAGCCCTAAATTAACGTTTACTTGTCATTAAAAATAATTTAATTATAGCATTTTTATACATTCTTTGTTTTTGCTGATCCTACTTTCCCATGAGTCTCCTCCACTCCTATTTCCCCTTTCTGGCAAGTTCCCCCTTCTCGTGATCCCCATATACACATACACACACATATATAATAACTGCAAGTCCAGGATCTTCATGTAAGAGAAAACTCGAGTCTGGGTGACTTTATTTAATGCAATAATTCCAAGCTCCACCCATTCACCATTTTCTTGC